TTTGACGGACCGGCCGACCGAGTTCTCGAGGAGCAAGCGGCCGGTGACGCGGGATCGTGGGATCATGGTCACCGAGCAGCGGGAGCTTCAGGTAAACGAATTGCTGGTTCCTCTGCCGCTCAGAGCTAAACTGCGATCGCCGGTGACCAAGTCCGAGGTGGTCTTCGTGCGGAGGAGTAATTGGAGAGAGAGGAATGACGAGAGAATGGGCGAGGGAGAAGGAATTGGACTGAGGAGGTTGAAGGCGAGAGCCGGCCAGTCATGCAAGCATTATGGCGTAGTGGAGGCGCCTTACTAATGAATTTCGACGATGTCGGCGAGCTTCCATGGACAACCAAACGTTGGTGAAAATTGCGGATGCTTGCAGTTAGCAATCGCGGCCTAGCCTCGGGCCACGCAGCCAATGGCACCCGGCCAATCCGATCTACGCCCCACAAATGATACGGCAGAGGATCTTATCAGTCGGAGGTGAAATGTGCCGAAGCTTATCCTGGCGTTTGGCCAGGCAGCTAGATGACGAAACTGCCATGGGCATCGGTGAGCTCGGTGGTCTTCGAGGAAAGGGGGGATTGTATCCTCATCTTCTTAACTAACGATGGGCTCTGTTCATCATGTATTATGCTTCCCTAACTGTCCCAAACGTGAAATATGGTCACTTGTAGTTGGAGGGGCACGTGAGGCTGTCACACATGTGCTCTCCACCCACCGAAAGGATGAGGAGGCACGGCTACATGCGGGGAAATCTTGGGCTCAGCATCAAGATATTCCCCACTGGATTTCAACTCCTCGTCTAAAACAACAAAGATTTCACACCGGACATATTGCTATTTTCTAGCTCCAGGAGCTCCCATCACGTAGGCTGGACAAAGGATCTGCTCGAGTCTCTGCTGCCGAGCTTCTCCCGACTAGGTTGGACACTATTGAAGCTTTGTGTGAATAAGAATATCCCATCTCAGCACCCCCTCCCTTTTCACTTGGATCCCCCATTATTGGGCCAACCAGCTGAATTTCTTCCCCATTCACTTTTTCACTTATTATTATTGTTGCATACTTGAGATGGCAGACAAACAAGAGACAACCCAAAAGGAGGACGTGGCCAAGTCATTGTCTTCCTTGTCTCTAAACACGTCTCCCAAGGCCCCCAAGAAGGTAGCAAAGAAGAAGAAGGAAGTTGTGGCAGACTCCTGGGAGGATGAAGATGTGTCCGACTCGGGCTCAGAGGACACGGGTGATGCGGCATCAACTCCTACAGCCAGCGGCGCAAAGGAGCAGCCTACTGGAACCAACGCACCACCGCCAACTCCTATATCCCCCACATACGGGAATCAATATCAGGACAATTGGTCAAGCCCATCCTCAAGCCAGGCAGATTCAGGGCCGCGACGGCCAGAAAAGACGGATGCTGTCGCCAGACGTATGATTGCTGCCAGCCTCGGGCTCAAAGCTCCCAAGCAAACGGATGAGCAGAGGGCCTACCAGAAGTCCATAAGGGAGCAAGAAAGAAAGCGTCGCGAGCAGCAGAAAGAGGAAGAACAGAAGCAGAAAGAGAAGGTAGAAAAGGCCAAAGCAGCCGTTTGGGACGATTGAATTCTAATCGAATTTCGCGGCAAATGGCTTTTATTCTGTTTATTTCACTAAATCACAATAAAGAATGAGGTTCTTCCCGCCGTTGGCGGTAGTCTCTACCCAAGCACGTCTCGCTATTGTTCCACCAATGCTTCTTTAGATCCGCTTACTTCTTCTCGCCGCGCGCCCTGGCAACGGAGGGGCGAGAGCTGACACGTTCATGCCAGGCCAGGAAGTTGGGGTACTTCTTGTCCACTTCGTACTTCTCCCTAAAGTTGGGGCCGACGACCTGGGGTGCTGTAACGATGGAGGACCAGGGAACGAATGCAAGATCCGCATATGTACTAGAGGAGAGGTTAGCTTCACGAATGGTAACACTTTCTGGCGAACTTACAGCTTGTTCGCAACAAGGTATTCCTTGTCCTTCAGGATGTTATCGAGGACCCCAAGAACTCGAGTGACTTGCTCCTCGTATCTGGTCTTGGCGGATGGGACGTCCTCGGGATGGAATCTGTGAAACCAGACCGCTTGTCCGAAGTAAGGGCCCTACATCTTCTTGTCAGAGTTGCTCATACCTTGCAAGGGCGATGGTGTGTTTTCGCATACCTGTCCAGACATCTGGAAGTGCAAGTACTGCTTGAGGTGCCACTTGTCTTTAGCATCCTTGACGGTCAACTTGCCCTCCTTGTCGTAGGTCTCGACGAGGTATTCAATGATAGCACCGGACTCCCAGAGAGTGAGGTCGGTGTTGGGGTCGAAGATAGTAGGCACTCGACCATTGGGGTTGATTTTGGTGTACTCCTCGGCCTTGGGATTTTCGACCTCGATCTGAACACGTTATGCATCAGTGCCAAATTCAAATGCGAAGAAGAACGAAAGGTCCTACCTTCTCGTAAGGAATTCCAAGCTCCTCGAGAATAATCAGTACTTTGATGGGATTGGGCCCGACGCCTATAAATCATCAGTGAGCACACATGTATGCTAGATGTTTCACTTCGACTGAAGGACCTACCGTGGGCCCAGATGGTGATAGGCTTGATGTCAGACATTCTGGTAGGGGATGAATACTGATGACGGGATTGTAATAAAGCTGTGTCTGGAAGGTTTGTGCTTGAAATATCTGGTTGATCCAATGCAAAGAAAGACTGCTCTTCCATGCCTTTTATACTTATTCTACATCCAGAGGCGTGCCCATTTCTCCCCTCTGCCAGGGAACTGTTACACCAGCCCGTCCGCAAAGGCAGCATCCGACGACATCTCCCCTAGCGTCCAGACGACCAAACTCCGTGGACTTGCATACATTCCCTCCGCAGCAGCGTCTAGATGGCAGAATCCGTGGACTTCATTCCGCACCCTGGTGCCCAGATGACAAATTTCAGGGGAGTAAAGTCTCCGAGCCATGAGACCAGCGCGCGGTTGAGGGCCATTCGCACCAACTTCCATCCGATGCATGCTTACAAAGCCGCGCGGTAAATCTAACATCTGGTGAACAGCTCGGCCTGTCATGCTAGTTGCCTCGCGCCATGCCGGAATCAGAGCATATTCGGCAGGAATTCCGCACATTGTTGCGCCTCGTAAGGCTACATCAGAACATACCGACGTCGCATTATGTCAATTACCCATTTCCTTATCGGCTCAATGGCAAGATCTTGCCAATATTCCCACTTTCCTAATCTCGGTAGAGATGCGAGACCGAGCAATTCTTAAACGTGTCTGAGGCCCTGGTGACACTGCGCAACTCGTAGGAGTATGGGAGCGATGAACTAGAAATATGCTGTTTTTATGCTCCTGTCTGACTCGAAGCCTCGATCCTTAGATCTGTAATCTTCTGCAAATTCGTAAATGACAACCGATTTGCCTAACCATCGTAGGCGTATGATGTAGCTTTGTCCCTCCATTCCAATTTCTTCGATCAGATGGTGTAGGTAATTCGCCAAAGATCTTCCGAGGTCTGCTTCGTGTTTCGAAACCATCACGTGTTCCTCGTTCGTTCGCCGTGGGCCGTTTCCTTTCAAATACATCACCGCTTTCAGAGCCTCATCAGGTCCTATCGAGCAATGGTAAAACCACTCCATTCCGAAGAAGCACAAGCTCTGCCTCACCCTCCTGCCCATCCACATGCCTGGTCGCCACGCCAAACCCTTCAAGCCCCTCCTCCTCCGCCCGGTGGTTCCAGATCATCTGCTTCAGGACCCCCTCCCTCGAACAGCAGAGGTATCCCATCGGCCACCGACTCCTCCCCATCGACTCCCGCACCCCCTTCGTGGCCGGCCTCTCGCTCACCAGGAGCCCCAGCACCCCAGACCCCCTCCAGCCCACCGGCGCGCCGACAAACGCCCCCTCCAGCTCGCGGATCAGGTTCGGCCCGGCACGCTGCGCGCCCGCCTTGCACTGCACCAGCGTCCTCATCACCCGCCTCGTCTTGGGAGGCGTCCAGGTGCCGAGGAGGTCGACGCCGCAGTCGGACGCCCCGCCGACGCGCTGCAGCGAGAAGCCGTACCGGGAGAGGGTCCCCGCGGTGGTGTACTCGTAGTGCGTGCCGACAAACACCGTGGACTTGTCGTCGAGCCCGGTCCGCTTGGCGTAGGCCAGGAACGTGGGGAGGTCGCTGTGCTGCGACGCCGTGCGGTTCTCCGGGTACAGGAGCTTCTCGGACAGTCGAGGCCTCGCCACGCAGAACCATCGGGTTGCTTGGTTGCAGCTGGCCCTATAGGCGATGGCCAGCGGGCGCGACCGGAGAGGCCGAATCATGGTTTTTCATCCCAGAATATCGATTTAAACAAAAGAAAGAAATTGCTATGTAGAAGTTATCATGAAATTGCTCAGATTGTCGATGCCACGAGGTTTAGGAATCGACTTATTCCACTAAGCGGGATGTTTATAGTGGGGCAGCCACCCTCAACCATGATACCCTCAGCTGCAACCCTCCCGTCGTGCAGACATAGACATGTTTGATCATAGAGCACTTGAGTCATCAAGCCTATGGTATTTGATCCAATGGATACCTTCTACCTACATAGATGTAGGTTTAGTCTTGATGTTGTTGGCTTGGCAGAACTTCACAATAGTTTTCATTAGCCTGGAAACCCCATATTGTTTCATTTCCTTTGTCATGAAATATCCTTATTATATAGCACGGTCATCCAACCATGCTGTGTCCCTCTCAATATGTAATATAACTACCCCTTCTCTCCAAAGATGCACAGCATCTCTGATATGTAAGATTCACACTTAGATCTCCCCCCACATCAGAGCTTTCTGATCTTCCACCCTCTCCCCTAATTATGCTTAGTTATGCTGATTACCATACAACTCGCCAGGATAGCATATTTTCTTTCTTGTTTCAAGAAAAGAGCCAGCTTATCCATCGCTAGAATGTACACGGAATTGAATTTATCATCCAACAACGATGCCATCTCTCCCGCAAGTTTAAATTAATTATGGGCATTTGATGCCTGTTTGTTCAGAGGTGGAATCGGGGGGATCTCCTCCTTCGGTCTCTCGTCTCTGGATCGGCTAGCATACCGACGGAGGCTGGGTCGTGTAGTATTCGACGACTGGGGTCTGACTATAGTTTCCACCATGCTGGTTTGAGCCACATGCCCCAAATGAGGTCTTTCATCATCAACATCAGACAACCCTCCTGACTGGTACTCGTCGTCTGAAGCTAGGTCAGGAAGGTGAGTGTGGTAAGATGCAGGGGTTGATGGAGAAGTTATGGATCGAGAATGCAGACCAGGACGTAGAGCCGATCCCATAGCAAAAGCCGCGGGATTCATGGTGTTATGGCCGCTTGTGTCCCGCGGAGGACGGTCAACAAATCCATTCTGGAATGAAGTATTGTTGGACGCCTCATGTAAGATAGGGAGAATCTGCTCGTCGTACAACTGCGTCCCCGAGTCAAAAGATTCAGGCGTGAATTCCGTGATTGTCCTCGTCGAATCTAAGTCATCATCCGTGTGCGGCTCGTCAAAGAAATCGTCAAGGCTGTCCAGCTTTGTCACAAGATCCCCAGCGTGTCCACCATCCCGAGGCCCATCAGACAACATGGTTGTAGTCCTGGTATTATCCTCAAAATATCCATATGATAAGTCGTCAGAAAATTCCAGTGAAGCAGTGGGTGTTGTTTCTGGAGAAGCTCCTTCTGCCCCTTGGCACATGTAGAATGCTGCATGTATATTCGCCCGTGTCACCTCCGTCTTCTTGGCTGGGATCGGGATTGCCCAACCAGATGCCTCAGGAATGCCAAATAGACTCTGCGTGTGCTCGTACTCTTTCCGGACAGATTTTGAAGTTGCTCGAGTCATACTCATTCTCAAGTGGTGCTTGTCCATATGACTGCCGGACATTGCCATGATCTTGTCCATCACATCAAGAGCTTCCATGCAAAAGTCTGTCTGTAAGAGTCGAAGCAAAGGCGAGATGAGGTCTGACCCATGTCCGGCCAGTTCAGGATTCCGCATATCAACTTCTGGGAGGGCAACGCATAAGATGCGCATCGTCTGAATCTTGACCCATGACAACGAGTTCGTTAGTAGTCCCACGAGGAAGGTAATCAATTTAAAGTCGAACTGCGGCAGATAGTATTCCCGAATAGCTGAGAAGAGTTGGCTCAGGAAATCCTGACTACTGCGGAATTTCCCAGCTGTGTAATCTCCGAGGGCAACTATGATGCTATCGAATCCTTCTGCTTCTGCTTCTTTTCTTAGCAAATGAGCTGTTCCCAAGGTTTGCTCACTAGGGATTCCTCGTTCAAGCTCGTCTATGAATCGTGGGAAATTGGCCAGAAGTGAGAAAAACAAGCGGTCATCGCTGCCCACCAGGTTGTCAACAGGAATCTGGATTAATTTATCCATAATATCCAGAGTCGGTTGCCAACAAACTGAAGATCTCAGCCCCTTTTGGAGTAACGACTGGAGACCAGGGAAAGGCTCCTCCCACCGCCCAGGCTGCCCTTCCAGAAGGGTCCGCCTCACAACAGGGGAGCGGAAATCCAATTTGAGAAGCAACTCGTTCAGCATTTCCACAGCCTCTAAAAACTCCATCTCGTTGATGGATTCAAGACATGCACACGTAATCCAAAACAATTGAGGGAATGTGAGAAGCCGGTCCGAATCTAGCTTGATAATGAGAGTCTTCAATGTCGTGAGGATCTCCATCGAGAAGAACTGGATCTCAGGATCCTCGTCGGCAATCGTGTTCGACAGTCTTGCAAGCATATCTCCCAACATATTTTGATCCAATGATGTGAGAACGCAGCGAAATACCTGGAAAGAGCGGCAGGCGAGGTGACGAACAGGGCAAGATGTAGCCCATGTCAGTGAGAGACGGCCCCATCGCTCCTTGAGGCCTGGGAAACATGCCTCAAATGTATTGACGACCTTAGTGGCGAGGAATGTCATACTTGGAGGGACCCTATTTTCTCGGTCGTCTGCCTTTCCATTGCTATCTTCATAGCCCCAAACCACTGTTCGGTCTTGTTGCCGAATCCGATCTACAAGATCTTCGATTTCTTTCTTCTGAGCGCCTTGGGTTTGGTCATCGATTCGAGATATTACAAGCTCGTGGATCAAGTGTACCAGCATTTCATGGGACTGTGCTTGGACCATCGGCATGTAATGGTCCCAAAGCACGGTGGCGACATGCAACAGCAAGGGGACGTTATCTTGAGACATATGGACCGGCGAGACCATCAAGTCAACGAGCAAGATCATGCTCAACTGACCAAGGGATAGACCAGCTTGCTTTGTTCCTATGGGCAGAATCTCCGAGATATCAGCACAAAATGGAAAAACGTTTATGTCCGCAGGAGGACCTGCGGGAACCTTCTTCTCATTGGGAACCATAGCCCTTGGTGTTATCTGCATGAGAAGATACTCAATTACTTTGACACCGCTATTTGTGGTGGAAAGAAAGACAACAATCTGCTTCGCATACTCTACGAAGTTCTGCTCGCGGTGCTCCAGACACAGCTGAATGATAAAGTCCATGACTAGACGAACATTGCCGGGATAAGGTCCAGTGGCAAGGGCTTGCCAAAGAGCCTGCATTTCATTATGCAGCGCTCCCCCAGACTTGATGGTAATCTCCAAAAGGTTGGCAAGTAGAACATACGAACTGGCTGTCGGTCCCCCGTTAGGGTCCAACTTTAATTCGATGGACTGGATCCATGGCAGCACTACAGCAATCACATTGCGCTGCGCCATGGGTTGCAGGTCTTTGAAGTAGAGCGTGAATTCGGAGAAAACGTAAAAGGCGATATCGGTGTGCTGCTTGGAGAGTCTTTTGGATATCTCGAATTGTGCTAGCTTGTAAACTGCCTGTGTTTTATCCGAAATGCTAATGTCGAAATCTTGGATCTTCGAGTTTCGCTTTTGTCTTGCTTCCAGTGTACGTATGACTGTTGTCGACTTCGATCTTATATCGCTTTGGTCATTTCCAAGTGTGAAGAGGCAAAGGCCAAGGACTCTCCAGAATGGACATGGGTAATTCGGTTGATCTTGCAAGACCTGTGTTATCACGGCAAAGTAGCTTTCAAGCACCTTAGGGCTATCCGCCAGGCAACATCTCGTAATGCAATGTTCAAGCAGATAAGGATATTCTTGATTGTGAACGATGAGGTTCTCCAGCGCCCTTCGCCCAATAAGATTCATCCGATCACTCCCTGAGTTGAAGATGTCTTCGATCCAGGCAAGCATCCTTCGGACATCAAATTGGAGCGTCGCCCCGCTCTCTGTGGTGACGCTAATCGGACCAGCACAGAGAGCTGCCATTGCACTCAGGGCTGCAGTTCGGAGATTTCTCTTCTCGATCTCCATTGCCGCTGTGACTGTGCCTCGCTCGGCCATTGCTTGTTGGTTGATGACCGACTGCCTCATTGTGGCTTCTCGCTCGCGGATCTGGTTGCGATTCGGGGAAAATCCGCACCAATCCTCCATCAAAGAAAAGGCAGATTTGCGAGACTCAAAAGTCATCCATCTTGATGGATCTTTAGTTCGGTTGATGCCATCGAAAAGAGCCTCCATAAGACCACAGTAATGGCGCCTTAGCTTCTGAAATTCCCAGTCCAGTTGTACTTCCCCATCCATGAGAAAAAGTTTCACATCTTTAGTGTATGTAGTGAGGGTCCCCAGGAAGAAATCCGCTTGGTATACTTCAGGCTCCTTAAGGAAATGCGAAGTGAGTTTAAACACGTGAGCAATCTCCGTCCTCAGTAGGTCCATTTTGCGATTTCTCCGAGGACTACTATTCGTGCGTTGATGAATACGAGCGCGGGCCTCGTCATTGCAACGCATGACTTGCCCTTGGAGCTCTTCCAGCAAAGTGCGATAGATGTGAATGTTGGCTGAGCCCATAGATACCACAACAGCGTCTCTAACTGAGGAGGTTGAGGATGACAATAGAGGTATCAAGTACTTGAACAGCGTCCGGGCCGTAACCATCCTATCTCCTGATGTTTTAGAGTTCTTTCGAGAATGCGCATCAGATCCAGTGGCTGTATAAGGTGATTTACCAGGGTCGGCGAGCGTTGTACAAGCGAAGATGAGGTAAAGCTTCCATTGCTCTACCATAACCTCTGGGTGGGCAGCAGGGGATTGTGCAGGTCCCCGAGCACTGGAAGGATCAGCGCCACTCGCATGAGGGAACCGGGAGGGCTCTGCGAGAATCACAATTGGTTTGTACATCTGCAACGTTCGGTCGCAAACGAGATCTCGGCAGATAGCCACTGTGAAAGGGCATTTTTCAGCGGCAATTCTAATCAGATTCGGGAATAATTTAAACCAAAGGGTGGTGTCGTATGATAAATCGCTTACGCAAAGCTCAACCACAACCCCTTTGTTGCCGCTGTTGCCATTACCAGAGTTTTTAAGCTCACGCTGAAGTCTACTGCGCTCGGCAACTGACAGGTGTTCGTCATTCAAGTTCATAACTTGATCAACATCGTTTTCCAAAATATCAATAAGCCGAATAGTGTCTTTCTCGGCGCCACCCTGGCCCAGTGCCTTATCAAGCTCGGTGATCAACCGCAACACCGTGATTGCGTGGTAACGAACCCGTCGAGACTGGGAACACAGAAAAAACAATCCGTGGGCTTCTGCCTGGTCAACCTCAGCCCAGACAGTGGATAGATCAAGCGTGATGGCTCTCTTATCGGTGGCACTGGGAGTCAGTTCGCTCGCCTCTGCCTCCTTCATCTTCTGCCGAATCTCATCGGTCCAGATTTGAAGTAACTCAACATAAAGACGCAGGGTACTCTCAATGTGGCCGGGGCCGAGCATTCCGCCATCCGACATGGTCGAGTATCGGTCATCAAAATTGAAGATGAACCGGGAGAACCCCGTAATAACGCCTTGAGCATGAGAGTGCCTTGCAATCGCCTTTAGAGAATTGGCAGACGACTGAGCGATGCTTGATTGTACGTGGGCCGTTCCAGTACAGAGTAGGTTGATCAAAGAGTTGAACGGTACATTTACAGGTAAGCAGCCAGGCAAAGCTTGTACAGCAACGTGAAGAAGTTCGTAAAACGCTTGTTTCTGGTCTGCCACAGAATGTTGCTCCTCACGACGAGCGAAGTTGAAGGTCTCGGCGATTGGGGTCTTTGGTCCTCCAGCTGGAACAGTGCTTGAGAACTTTTCATCCAGGGCAGCTTGGCCACCAAAGGTATTGTCGCACATTATGGTTATCTTGCCAAGAATTTCACAAAATTTTATGTAGTAATCTCTCACAGGGTCACTCAACACGTGGGTCAAGACTGGGCGAGATATCTGCTCCTCTGCAGCGCCAAATGTCGTGCCTTTGAAACTCTCTGAACGTGGCAATGCCAGTACGGGGGATGTGGAGACTCGTTCAAGGCCTGGAGGTGCTTCGTAAAACTCGGGAAATGGCGGTTGGCCTTGTTCTCCTTTCTCCAAGTCCGACATGATGCGCAAAAATGCACGGATACCCACAACGATCCTGTCTGGATCAAGTTGCTCGATTTTCAAATCCTTGTTGTTTACAAATGACTCGGCACTGATCAACGGAAAGATGACATTACGAAAACAATATTCCGGGTACCTGAATCCAACGATACGGATAATCTGGATCAATGGATCCGCGACCGAGGTATCAGATGCAATGATACTCCGTCTCGTTGCGGGCAAAACAAGCTTGAAAATGTCATCCAATTTTCGTGTCGCACCTTGTGGGCTGTCGTTTGTCCGATAGAGATAGGTCCAGAGAAGCCGGGAAATTATTTGAAGGCACAACGGCTTCATGGCCTTGTCTTTGATCTTGGTATGCATAGGCGCAAGAACTTGCGGCCAGCGAGAGGCGAAGTGCTCAGGCGAGGAAACGCACATGATGGTTGCATGTAGAGAAAATGCAACATTCCAATGCCTAGGCTTGGCGGACATTTGAGCCAGACGGGTGCTAATTGCGGAGAGAACCTCTGCCCATTTGGGGTGCATCAAATGGCTATTGAAGGCTTTCGCAGCAATAGGTAAGAGCAACCTTTCGATAACCTGGCAAAAGGCCCATTTGACCTTCTGCCCGTGGGCCTTACTAAACAGCCTGCCAAGCGAGATGAGAAATTCGCACGACCGCTCCCAGGCGTCTTCAGGAAGGATCTTGATACGAAGCTGCTGGATCCCCCCAAGGACAAGCTCAACCCTCCCTTCATTGTCACGGCCTCCTAGGGATGTAGGGCTCTTCAAGGCGCGCTCTTGGAATGAGCTGTCTAGATCTTCCAAGAACCGACGGGTTACTGGAACAAAGTTGATGTCGCTCATATGCCCCAATAGCTCAGCGAATAAATTCCAATTGGCAAGCTTCAGCGGAGAAAGTGACAGCGCCTCGGGATCAGCTGTTTTAAGCTGGCCGAATATAATACTCTCTAGTTTGTCTTCCATTTCGGGGGTTATCGATTGAAGACTGCTTTGGCTGACAACCTCGATCAAAACTCGGCATAGAATGTAAATGGATACCGTAGAGCGCCGCTCAGCTTGTGCGACATACTCTTGTTTTGCAGCCAAGGACGTATTTCCAGCAATACTGCCCTCTGTTCCACCAGAACCTGGGACTCCATTCTGCACAGGTTCAGTGTTCCTTCGCAGCAAAGGGCCGGCAGGGACAGCACTGCGCGATTGCAGATGATTTCTAGCCTCGTTGGCAGTGTCACTCTTGCCCTTTCTCCACAGCATCATCGAGTCAATGAGGGCCTTTGGTTTTGGGCTTGCGATGTGGCCCAGGGCGACAATCAATTGGTCAAAGGCAGGATCAACTCCTTTGCCACAAATTGCTTCAATATTAGGTTCAGATTCAATGGCCATAGTACTACATTCATTCAGTTTCTCCTCAGCTTGAGCAATGAACTGGGTTTTGTTAGATTAGCCAAAACTGTACACCGAAGGCGCGGAATGGGTAACACAAACCGATGTAAAGAGAACGTGAAGGGCATATTCTCCAACCGTCTTCTGGTCATCCTTGTGGTGCCGAGAGCTGTGAGAATGATGATGGCCTTGTCTTGTTTTACTCGATTTTCGTTCAATCCTGCGCTGAGTCGCGGGAAGCGAAAAGCTCTCGTTTATCGATCCAGTTCTCTGCAGGGGGAACCCGCCTGGGGTGGTTGAAGAGGCATCCATCGCGGGAGGGTGCCGCGGGTGGTGTCCAATATCTGTCTCGTGCCACCCAGTTGGGGTCTGTATATCTGGTCTTTCAATACCAGGGGCTCCGTGTGTCATGTTACGAGGGCTGAGCGGGCTTGATTTCGAGCTTGCGAGACTTCCATTTCTCGAATGCTGTATTCCATTCACAAAGGACGCTTTCCTATGGTGACCATACGTCGCGCTCTTGGGGTCAACGACACGTTCCGTCAGGGCCGATCGGGGAAAGGACGTCGGGATGCGTGGCGAAGAAAGGGCTTGCGGAAGTTGTGGTATCTTCTCTATCGAAGATTCTCTCGAGTGTGTTACGGAGCGAGACGTAAGTGGTGAACCAAGCGATGGAGCGGGGTACAATGGTCGCGGCCATCCAGTTTCATGTTCGACTACCTCATTCAATGTTGTGACGGATCGAGACGGAAACTTGACGGGGTCTTGGTGATGCTCTGGCAACGTTTGTGGTGGTACTAAAGTAGTTGACAAATCAGCTGGGGCTCGCCTCCTTGTTGAACGATGGTCTGGGGTTTCGATGGTCGACCGTGTAAGGGAGATGCTGGGTGAAGGTTTGACGAGATGCAGTGGCAGGTTCTCGAACTTACCCATTTCGAGTCGCACAAGCGCCCAAGTCCCATGATCTGGTCTACTCGGTGGAGAGCAAAGGATAGCTAGGGATGCATTCCGGCGTCAGAGAAATCATAGGCGAGTGGTCCCTAGGAGCGGCGTGGACGTCGTTGATACTCCTCTGCGATCAAGGAGAGGCGCTTTGCAGACCCTGCCGGTAAATCAGAGATACCTCAGACTCGCAGTAGATGAGGATCCGATGGTCGAGCGTAGCCAGGCGATGGTTGGCTGTCAAAACGAGAGCACTCCTCATACGTCCCAGCAGGTAGTTGGAATCAATGATCCTGACCATGCATCGTCCAGCCCAGACCACTGTCCTTGGATAAGGCACAGACCAATGAGGCTCGTGGCGAGCAACGCAGGGATCGAATATTACTGTTCAACCTCCATCCATTTCCTCTCTCCAGTTTGAGCTCCCATGCGACATGCAAGGGCGGTGGCCTATCAGAAGCCGGGAAGCAGCGGTTGGCGGGGCAAGGAGGGGCAGCTCTCACTGGCTACCGCCCCGTATTTCGTGGGTTAGCGCAGCTAGAGCCCAATCCAGGGTCCGTTCCGCTGTGCCACCACCTCCAAATCTGCCGCCCTCCTCTCTCCAACTTCTCCGGCTCTCCTCAGACACACCTGTAACACAAGATGGTGGTGCCTAGTGGGAAAAGGTACAGATGATAAGTTATGTGTTCCTGTTTGGGTACTGAGATCCCCACCACGTGGTGAGATGGGACATACTGCCTGCCACGAAATGGCTGTCACATTCCCCTCCAAAAAATGAGCTAATGATTAAGCTCCTCTGAAGTTCAGCCACAATGCATGGTCGGTCTTGGACACAGATCTATGAGAACGGGCCCGTTACTACGTAAGAGCTTCAGAGCCGAGGCTATCAGCCGAATAATGTTACAATGACACAATGGATCTTTCTCAACCTGTTCGGCCTGCTACCCTACAGCACCAGAGGCAACATTGGATGTAAGTTGTCATAGTTGCTGAAAGGGAAATATGGCTGGAGATCATCGTTTCGTTGGTGGGTTTGGAACTCGGTTTCGGATTCTTGTTCTCTTAGACATTGAATAAAGGAAGGCTGCGGTATATTTTGCTCAAGGATAGAGGGGCCAAAGGATTGGCTCAATCGAGAGTCAGGATGGTCCACTGCAGATGGGCGGGATACGTCGGGTAAGAGTTAAGACGCAAACCTACGCAAAATGTCGCCAGGACCTCGAAATAAGACTCATTTAATAGCAAGCTTCCTTGCATGTCATACTACCTGGCAAAAAGTGCATATTTCGCGCCCTGGTGCCAGCCATGGGGATGTATTCAATCTTTCGACATGCTGTTGTGGTTGGTCAAAGCGGAAATATATCGGAATCGCAAATCAAGTACGCTTTTGTACGTAGGATCAGCCCGAATGAACGGAATATCCCGAGGGTAATTCATTAGATAACGTGTTAGTGTCCATGTGGACGGTGGATTGATACCGGAGAACTGTCGTCAAACCCGAGCCGGACGGACTGTTAGCAAGTCCAGATGGATGCGAAACTTCGGTGAACATTCCATCGGATTCGGTGCGTGCCAAGGGCCGGAATCTTCGAGGCACCATCCCAGCCTGCATCAAGTTCCCTATGCATTGATGTAGCGATCGACGAGGGAAACTGACCTGATATTCGTATTCGTATCCAAGCCGGTGCCCTGGAACTAACACTAGGTAGACAGCGGCGTTGGAAAAGGTCGGGATCCCGGCAGGGTGTTCAACCCGGCATCCGACTTCGACACCGCGGCATCTCCTGTAGTTTCCTATTCTGCAACGCTGGCGACGTGGAAAAAAGATCGGTTGGTCGGTATCACTTAGGGCACGAGGTCAGTTCTGCAGAACGTCTCCGGACTTCTGAGTCGGCTTGATATGCCCCTTCTGGTAAAGTCCACCCGGCAAAATCTGAAATCTGTTAGTTAGAGATTCGCACAAGGCCAGCCCCCACTACGCTCGCTATCGATAGAAATGATCCTGGTTTCCTATTTGCTAGCCAGGATCATGGGACCCACAGCGCCCTTATCCTCCATCAGATAGCCCGGATACTTCCTACGGAGTACATTATCCCAAAGGTGTCCCCTCCACCGAGTCCTCCTCCCCTCGACTACAGTCGCTCTCGTCCGCTGTCCTGCCTTCTTTTCTTGCCTGTCTTTTAAGTAGCAGCAAGGTGGCTATCTGGAAACGGTGATTTTCTCTTCCGAATCGAGTTGTGCGCTAGCTGCCTGGCTGTCCCGCAATCACCATGGCCGAGCTCGACACTCTTGACATCGTGGTGCTTGGGGTTATTCTTTGCGGCACCCTCGCCTACTTAACCAAGGGCAAGTTTTGGGGAGTCGTCAAAGACCCCTATGCTTCCAGCTTCCAAAATGGCACCGCAAATGCCAACAGGGCCGGCCGAACGCGAAACATTGTTGAGAAAATGGAAGAATCCGGCAAGAACTGTGTTATCTTTTACGGCTCCCAGACGGGTACCGCAGAGGATTATGCTTCTCGACTAGCGAAGGAGGGAAAGAGCCGTTTCGGCCTGGAAACCATGGTCGCTGACCTGGAGGAGTACGACTTTGACAATCTTGACACGTTCCCGAGCGACAAGGTGGCCATGTTTGTTCTGGCAACATATGGTGAAGGCGAGCCTACCGATAACGCCGTCGAGTTCTACGAGTTCCTCACTGGCGAAGATGTTGCCTTCTCTGAGGGCAATGACCCCGCTCTGGAAAACCTCAACTATGTCGCATTTGGATTGGGCAACAATACCTACGAGCACTACAATTCCATGGTTCGAAATGTTGACAAAGCCCTGACCAAGCTTGGAGCTCATAGAATCGGCGACGCTGGCGAAGGAGACGACGGCGCGGGTACAATGGAAGAAGACTTTCTTGCCTGGAAAGATCCCATGTGGGCGGCACTGGCCTCCAAGATGGGTCTCGAGGAACGTGAAGCCGTGTATGAGCCAATCTTTGGTATTGTGGATCGTGAGGGCCTGACACCCGAATCCCCAGAGGTCTATCTGGGTGAATTAAACAAGATGCAACTGGAGGGTACTAACAAGGGCCCGTTTAATGCTCACAACCCGTACATTGCCCCCATTTCAGAGTCTCGCGAGTTGTTTTCTGCCAAAGATAGAAACTGTTTGCATTTGGACGTTGATATCAGCGGCTCGAACTTGTCTTACCAGACTGGAGATCATATTGCTGTATGGCCAACCAACCCCGGTGCCGAGGTCGATCGATTCCTTGACCTCCTCGAGCTTGCTGAGAAGAGAAACAACGTTATCAGTGTTAAAGCCCTCGAGCCAACTGCGAAGGTGCCATTCCCAACCCCCACTACTTACGATGCTATTGTCCGATATCATCTGGAAATCTGCGCTCCGGTCTCCCGTCAATTCGTTTCTACGCTTGCTGCTTTCGCCCCTAGCGAGGAGATCAAAGCAGAGATGACGAGACTTGGCAACGATAAGGATTACTTCCATGAGAAGACTGGCCCCCACTTCTACAACATCGCCCGTTTCCTGTCTGCCGTTAGCAAGGGAGAGAAGTGGACCAAGATCCCATTTTCTGCGATAATTGAGGGGTTGACCAAGCTCCAGCCTCGCTACTATTCGATTTCATCTTCCTCTATTGTTCAGCCCAAGAAAATCTCTATTACTGCTGTCGTTGAGAGCCAAACGATCCCGGGACGTGGAGACCCCTTCCGAGGAGTTGCGACAAACTATCTGTTTGCTCTTAAGCAGAAGCAGAATGGAGATGAAAACCCCACACCCTTTGGCCAGACCTATGAGATTACCGGCCCTCGCAACAAGTACGATGGTATCCATGTTCCTGTTCACGTGCGACACTCGAACTTCAAGCTTCCTTCGGACCCAGCCAAACCCATCATCATGATCGGTCCCGGAACCGGAGTTGCGCCATTCCGCGGATTCATCCAGGAGCGTGCCAAGCAGGCCAAAGACGGTGTCAACGTTGGTCGAACTCTACTTTTCTTCGGATGCCGTAAATCGACCGAGGATTTCATGTACAAATCCGAGTGGGAGGTATGTCTATGCCCTGTAATTATTCCCTGTTCTCTAACCATAAGTTAACATTTTTTTAGGAATATCAAGAGGCATTGGGCGACAAGTTTGAGATGATTACCGCCTTTTCTCGGGAAGGACCCAAGAAGGTCTATGTGCAACATCGCCTGAAGGAGCGTGCTAAGGAAGTGAACGAGCTGCTGCTTCAGAAGGCCAGCTTCTACGTCTGTGGTGATGCTGCCAACATGGCGCGCGAGGTTAACGCCGTCTTGGTGCAACTCATTGCTGAGGGACGCGGGGTAACAGAGCAGAAGGCAGAAGAGGTTGTCAAGA